CCAAGTTGTAACACTTTGTGGGTATTATCCCATTGTGGTGAAGTTCCTTTAGTCAAACTCTGTCTATGCTATTGATGTTTAGTAGGAATTTTAGCTGGAAAAATGAAATAAAGACCTTTGTGACACCAAACAAAAAAATAAGCTCCTTCACATGATTTTGTAAGAGCAAACTACAGATTAAGAGATGGAAAAAATAATTTTAGAATGATGAAGTGAGACTGAAATACCCTTTTTTTTTTTGTCAGTTTCTTCCTTTTTGTATTTCACCTGTTCCAGAGCAGCATAGAAAATTACTTAACTGGACTGTCACAGAATCACAGAATGGTAGAGGTTGGAAGGGACCTCTGTGGGTCATCTAGTCCAACCCTCGCACCGAAGCAGGGTCACCTACAGTAGGTTGTAGAGGACCTTGTCCAGGCGGGCCTTGAATATCTCCAGAGAAGGAGACTCCACAACCTCCCTGGGCAGCCTGTTCCAGTGCTCCGTCACCCTCAGAGGGAAGAAGTTCTTCCTCATGTTCAGACGGAACTTCCTGTGCTTCAGTTTGTGCCCATTGCTCCTTGTCCTGTCGCTGGGCACCACTGAAAAGAGCTTGGCCCCATCCTCCTGACACCCACCCTTCAGATATTTATAAGCATTTATAAGGTCCCCTCGCAGCCTTCTCTTCTTCAGGCTGAACAAGCCCAGCTCCCTCAGCCTCTCCTCGTAGGAGAGATGGTCCAGTCCCCTCACCATCCTTGTAGCCCTCCGCTGGACTCTCTCCAGTAGCTCTTCATCTTTCTTGAACTGGGGAGCACAGAACTGGACGCAATACTCCAGATGGGGCCTCACCAGGGCAGTGTAGAGGGGAAGGAGAACCTCCCTCGACCTACTGGCCACACTCCTCCTAATGCACCCCAGAATGCCATTGGCCTTCTTGGCAGCCAGGACACACACCTGGCTCAGAAAGAGCTAATTATAGACTGTAACAGTATAAAAGGTCTTTCACCTATTTATGGGTCTTCACCTTTACTTGTGTGATGAAAAAAAAACCAGCCTTATACTGAATGTTTAATTAGTATTTGACCTAAATACTTACAGTAACCTATAAGGAAAATTCCCGGCATCTCATGCCAGCACATTTTAAAATGCTGATGAGGATTGCTACACAGAAAACTTTTGATATGGAACAACAGACTTAGATGTTCTCTATATTTCTAAAGCAACCTTGAAGCGTGACAACAGGAGAGGAAACAAGTTGCAAAAAAAGTACACGTAGAAAATAAAAAGATCAGGGTCTTCCCCTGGTAACAGTCATTCCTTTGAAGGCTTTCGCTGTCCCAAAGTTTTTCTCCCTGACACAGACCATCAGAGATTCAGAGGTGACATTTCTGTTCTTTGTGGAAATTCAACATTGTCTCCTTCCCACTGGTCTGGCAGTTCACGTCTCCACAAAGGCCAGGCTTCCCAAACCTCCCAAGCCTACAAGAACACAAAGCAAATAAAGAATCCTAACCTTTCACTCAGTCTGCTTTGGTCACAGATCTCCCTTGTGGCTTTCCGTGTTCAACCTCCCCAGTGACAGGCAGCCTCCCTCTGAAGCAGGAGTTAAACTCTCTCCAGGATATTTCAGTTTCCTCCCTCATCTTGTTTCTATGGTATGACAGGGATGACCCTGCTTACAAATACTTTATCTTTTGAAACAGTAGTTTGCTTGGTTCTTCTACATCATATTCCTGAAGAACTGAAAGACTAAGAACAAGACCTTTGGTATGTGTAACATGGCACTACATTATGCAGTATAGACAAGGCAGTATGCATTTCATAAGACATAGCTATTAATATGCAGATAGCGCAGGCAAAAAAAAAACTCTAAGGTAGCAATACTGATGACTTTGAAACCATACTTTTATTTCAAAACTCAAGTATGTGATACTATACAGTACAATACCAGCACACTTGTGCAAAATCTTACAGTATTACAAATTTAAATATGATACACAAAAATAGTGCCCTTTTAAAATTCCTTTTACTAGAAACATCTGTGCTGTGCGGGAAAAACAATAAACGTGTCTTGTTAAAGCAGAAAAATAAATATTGCACCTCAAGAAAACTATTTCAGTGCTAACAGCATAAATAATAGACCTATTTCTTGTTATCTGATGTGATCTTTAAACACAGAAGAGGTTGGGCTTCTTTTCCAGATAAAGCAAACTAATATCCCACACATAAATTACATTTAGAATATTTTTTGAACTCAATCTAGTTTCTTGTTAAAGAAAGGTGTCTTCATTAACTAACTGAAAAATATAAGCAAAAACATTTAATGTGCTGTTAGTCATTGTGGTTCATTATTTTTAGTGGACAGTTTGCTCAAAGTAGTTATAAAAAGAACAACTTTTTCTTTAAATAAACTTTATCTTCATCTTTTCATCCCCATTAAAATCTCTTGCCTCTTTCAGTCCAATCCCCACAACAATTAATAACTTTGTGCCTAAATATACTTGCCTTATACATGCAAGTAGTTCAGTTCAGATCAGTACAACTACTTATGGAAATCTGCCCTTGTGCACTAAGTCCACAAAAAGCCAGTGTGCTGAATTTCAAGAGAGGATGGAGACCTTGTTCACCCACTGACCAAAAAAAACTTAGCACGTGCTTAACATCAATCATTTCAAGAGTCCTATTGATATCAGTAACTTTCTACATGTACTTAAAATAAGGTGTTGGACCCACATCAGTGCAAATAACAACAAATTCATTCGATGATAGGCATTGTTAATGATTTTTCCCAGTGCTCAAGATTTCCACAATCATATAATCAAATAAGTGCCATAATTTTTGACATACACGATTCTGAATATTCAGGACAATTTACCTTCAATTTTTATTGTCTTATTAAGTTATCAATGCTATTGTAAAGAATATTAACTTAAAGAAGTTGATTTTAATAAAGAAGTATTCAAAGAGCAAGTGACAAGTTTCTTCAAATACCGGAAGTATGTGAAATGTCACAGTAGTTCTTCATAGTCAGATATGCTAACTGAACCAAACAGATACCAAGTAATTTGCAAGAAACCTTCTTCTGTCTTTTTACCAATTACAATTTCAGACCAAATGACACTTTCCCATTATCCTTTTTGAACTTCCTTAAGCACACTGTTCCTCAACAATATATACTTTAAAATAATAAACAAACCTCCCAACTGTTTATAGACTTCCCCCCTCCAAAAAAAAGTGGTAGTGGTCTGCATTTCAATTTTTTTAATTTTTCTGTTCTTTCTCCATTTAAATGTCTCTTAAGACATATGGCTAAATATGTAACAAACAAAATTCACCAGCAGGATATTTATTACTAGTGCCAGATATGTGAATTAAATTTCTGACTAAGTTAGAAACCTGTTTTCTTTGATAGTTAGCTTGAGGTTCAGTGTTTACACCAAAAGAAAACAAAACAATACTAACCGCATCTGAACTGAAATTACAGTACTTCGTAACATACTTATCCTTCAATTGGTAAACAGGCCTGTAAATCAGTCAGAAAATACCAGAAGAATGCAAGACACGAGTGCAATCAAGTGTCACACCGATTTTGATATTGTGGTTAGATTCAAGCATATAGCCGTGGAAAGACAAACATAGTTCATCTTCAATCAGAATTGATGTTCAGC